ACCTCAGAGGCTAATAACTTCCAGCGGTTCTTGCTGTTTTTCTGGTATTTGCCTCCATTTCCCTAAATCAGCAGTTCTCATGCAGAATGCTTCTGCACCTGGGGGACATTTGGCAATGTCTGGAGACATTTTTACTTCTTATGATGGGCAGGTTAAGGGGGTGGGGGAGGTGTGCGACCAGCAGGGGTGGAGGCCAGGGACGCAGAGCACAGGGCACAGGGCACAGGGCAAGCCCCACAAGCAATGGAAATGACACGGGCTTGGGGAATTTTGTTATGTCTTTCTTTATCAACTTTTAGATATAAACTATTAACTTTCTGTTATGTCTACCTCGTCAGCTTTTCATTGGTTATGCCATAATTCTGTGACTTTTTTTCCTTTCTAGAAAGTTCTGGGATTCCTGATATTCTGATATTTTAATATGATATACTTTGTTTTATTTTTCATTTATTCTGCTGGGTACTTAGTGATTCCTCTCAGTCTGAAAACTGAGGAAAACCTCTGTTTTCAATTTGGGAGATGATCATTTGATAATTTCTTCCCTTCTGTTCACTCTCTTCTTTCTTTCTGTTCTTTTTAGTTGTATGTTTGGTGGGCCGGTTGGGTTCGTTTTTGTTTTTGTTCCTTTTTTTTTTGTCTATTTATTTATCTTTTTCCTCTACTTCCCATAGATTTCCTCTATTTTATCTTCCAACTCCCCAACTGAATATTTTATTCCAGCTATCGTATCTTTCATTTCTAGAAGCTCCTTTTGGTTCGCTGACCACTCTTTTTGAAAATAGCATCCTCCCTCAGCTCTTTCCCTACTCTGTGGCTTCACATACACTATTCCTTCTGCCTGGAAAGTGGTCCCTCTCATTCTCCACATGCCTCAGGTCGCGACTCAGCTCTCCCTTAGATATTGATCCTCTTTTACTTGTTGATCCATTACTTCGATCCTCTGTCATTATCTTATAGTAACTTCTTTTTTCCTTCCTAGTGTTTGTCATCATTGGTAATTAGAAATTTATATGCACATTCATTTCTTTGTGTCTCATTTCCTGACTGGTGAGTTAGCTCCACGAAGACAGGGAGAGCCTGGCAGGTGCTTAATCATTGTTTAGATGAATAAATTAACAAATATTTTCTTAAGTTTGTATATCATATATAAAATTACAGAGCAGTGAAGGATTCAGTGTATCATAGATCCTTGTAATTAGGATATGGACTTGGAAGCTAAGAACCTTAACAAAAGCCACAACAAAATGTTTATTGAGTGAGGGACTTGGCAAGTGGTGAGATAAAGCCCAGTCTGTGTTCTGATCTGTGAAACAGGATCACTGTTTTCTATTGTCAGTATCTCTGTGATTTTTCTGAAGAATCCTTTAGACAGGTAAAGTTTATTGGAATGACAATGTTACTATAAACTCACGATGAGATAAGGAGAAATGAGGTCAAGTAATTGAGGAGATGGTGATATGAAAAACAAAAAAAAAGAAACATATTCTACCAACCTTGAGGAAGCTGAAGCACTCCTGTACTTATGCCTGAGACCAAGTCACCCAACACATACTCCTTGAATTTGTAAGCTGGCAACCACTTAGTTATGGGTAGGAACATATAAATGATATTTCTTATTTTTTTAGGGGTACATCTGGGAGGACAGAGAAAAACAGAGATAAAGTTACAAATGAGGAACAGCTGTGTAGAATTCAGACCAAGGGCTTTCCCCTTCTCAGACCCAAGAACAATAAGAAAAAATTCACAGTGGGTTGGTTATTCAGGATGTTGCTGAATGGAATACAGGAGTGGTGTGGGGGGAAAGCCAGAGTGGCTGGACCCTTCCTGGGAGACAAGGGGCAGAGGTGGATGTTTTGGATGTGCGTGGAGAATTAGAAAGCGGGTTGTTTATGCAGATGTAAGGCACAGTGGGAATTCAATAAACATGGTGACATATATGACGAAGGCTGTGTCAAGTATCACCCAGTGGCTGAACCGTGGTGAACAGCTTTGCAAATCACAAGTGCTCACCATTCAGTTTCTCTCCACTTCACTGCATAAGTTTTCTTTACACATTTGACCTTGCTTCTCTCATAACTGAATGATATGGAAACAAGTTAAAGTACAACTTACGTGAATGCCTGTTTCAGCTTATCCCCAATGGAATCCGGAACCTTGTCCTTCGTGTGTAGTCTTTCCTGGAGGACTGGATGGCTAAAGATAGGCCTCTCCACATAGTACCTCTGGGTTGCTGCAAGGATTTCATTTTCTTCAGCATGATCCATAGTACTCTGAAGTGATTCATCAACAGCAGGAGACAAGCATCTCTTGAGTCTAACTAAGGGAGAAAATAAAAACTCCATTATTTTATTTCATTATTATTTTTTGAGAAAGCATCTTACTCTGTTGCCCAGGCTGGCATACAGTGGCTCAATCTAGCTAATTGCAGCTTGGAACTTCTAGGCTTAAGTGATTCTCCTGGTTCAGCCTCCAAGTATCTGGAACTATAGACACATGCTACCATGACTGGTTAATTTTTTACTTTTTGTAGATATGGGGTCTCTTTGTGTTGTCCAGACTGGTCTCAAATTTCTGGCCTTAAATGATTCTCCTGCCTTAACCTCCCAAAGGGCTGGGATTATAGATGTGAGCCACCACACCTGGGCAAAATCCCATTTTAGATACTAAAATTCTATTGATGACTATTTTTTTTTGGAGACGGAGTCTCATTTTGTCACCTCGGTAGAATGCTGTGGCATTACAGCTAACAGCAACCTCAAACTCTTGGGCTCAAGCGATTTTCTTGCTTTAGCCTCCCAAGTAGGTGGGGATTACAGGTGCCTGCCATAAAACCCGGCTATTTTTTAGAGACAGGGTCTTGCTCTTGCTCACAGTGGTCTCAAACTCCTGAGCTCAAGCAATCTACCTGCCTTGGCCTCCTAGAGTGCTGGGATTATAGGCATGTGCCACAGCGCCCGGCCTCTGACGACTATTCTTAAACATCTCTTCTTTGTGATACTCTAAATTTTTTTGAGGCCTTTTCTGGACACCCCAGAGCACCTAACATATTGTTGTGTATGTAGTTGACACTAATAAATAAAACAAAATCAAAATCAATAAAAAACAAAACATGACTTGTTCCCTCCGAGGGCAATAAGTGGATAGTGCCTATACTTCTGGAAGCTATATGGGAAGCTCATATTAAGTTCAATGGCTAAACACCTCAGGCCATTACTTTTAGATGCATGTAAGAGCAACTGTAAATTAGGCCAGCTCTATGTCAAGGAAACATTAAAAAGGGCAAGATCAGTCCTTACACTGACCCCGACTTTCCTAAAGCTATATTAGCCTCCCTTCCAGTTCTGCATTTACATTTGATTACCCCTTAAATTATTCCGTAGTTAAGAGCTGAGGCTGTATGTCTCCATGAGGGCAGTCCATGGTGATTTTTGTGAAAGGCTACAAGTTAAAAACATAAGTATAATATTGTTGTTTTAAAGTTGGTGATGCTGTCATATATTAGACTATTAAAATGGCCAATTTTTTCCTTGCTCCATAGTGAATACTTATATGAGAAAAAAAAGATTAAGAAATCAAAATCCAAAAGGTTTGTGCATATGGAGATGTGTACAAGAATGTTCACTGCCAACTTTATGTAGTGAAAAATTGAAAAAAACCAAACTATACAATAAAAAATGCATTTTGGTATATTTATAAATTGAACACTATGTAATAATGAAAAGAAATGAACTAAATCATCATCAAGAAATCTCAAAAACTTAATATTCAATGCAAGTGTAAAACATGGATACATCGAGAAGCAATTTTAAAATAAAGTTTGAAAGCTTACAAAGCAAAAAGGCAAACAACAGCAAAAAAACCCAAAAAACGGGTGGCACCTGTGACTCAAAAGGGTAGGGCAATGGCCCCATATGCCAGAGGTGGTGGGTTCAAACCCAGCCCTGGCCAAAAAAACCAAAAAAAAACACCAACAACAAAAAGCTTACAAAGCACTAGTATATATAGATTGTTATGGATGGATAAGAGGTCAGACAACTAAATTTTCAAACTTATCCTGGACAAAGTGCTACCTACGTCAGTGCTGAATATCAGTAAGGTCACCTTCGAAGTGCTCCCCTTGGGAAGCTATGCACCAATGCCAGCACCTAGTCCACCCTTCAAGGCAATTTTGGAAAATTTTTTTGGAATGGCCATCACAGCTGTGGTGGGACAATTAAGTTTGTAACCTTATGCTAGAAAAAGTGCCACATACCTCATTGCTGGATATCACTATGGTCATCATATGGCCAAGGGGAGTACTTTAAAGGTGACTATAGTGATATTCAGCAATGAGGTATGTAGCCCTTTTTCTAGGATGAGCTTGTGAACTTAAGTGTCTCCTATGTATGCAGTAATAGCATAAAAGCATTCATGACAGTGCTAGATACTAAGATCAGGATGCGATTACCTGTGGGGAGGAGGGAAATGAGGCTGGAAAGGGATGGTCAAGGGGCTTCAACTAACTATTTCTGCAATGTTTTAGTTTATAAAAAAAGAACTGGCACAACCAAAGCTAAATGTTAAGATTTGATTAAGCTAGGTAAGTAAACTCGGGTTTATTACATGATCCTTTGTACCTGTTTGGACATTTGAATTATACATCTTATAATAAAAACTTCAGTACATAACAACAACCAAACCCAGTGTTCACACCTGAAGGAAGTTAATGCCAGAAGAGTCGGGCATAATTCAATGCACGGTTAAGTGTTTGTGTGCTGACCATGGGAATGCTGGTCAAGACGACTCCCTTGAGGTGAAAAGTCAGGTTTTCACCAAACTGAAATCACATTCAAGTTGAAATCAGGTTTGTGTGATTGACCATAAAATACAATGTAAAACAAATATCTACGTCCAGGGAGGTTGAAAGTTCACGAGCCAGGAAGAAAAAGAAATGCTAGCAGCAAATACAATCAAGTGTCATCAAGGATGGAATAAGAAGTCTACAATTTGGATATTTTGTACCCTAAAACATTGATGTTGAAACGTAATCTCTAATACAACAGTATTAATTAGGAGGTGATTGATTAAGAGGGATGTGCCCTCAGGAATAGGACTAGATGCCCCCAAAAAGGTCTTGATGGAGGGAGTTCACCCCTTTCTGTCCATTCTGCCGTGTGAGGGCCTGGCATTCCTCCACTCCAGAGGCTGCAGCAACAATGTTCCATCTTGGAGGCAGAGAGATGGGGCCCTCATCAATAGGTACCTTGATCTTGGACTTTTTAGCCCCCAGAACTGTGAGAAATAAATTTCTATTGTTACAAATTACCCAGTGCGTGGTATATTTGTCATAGCAGCACATATAGAGTAAGACAGAAATAAGTTTGGAGAAAGAGAATTTTGCAGCAGAATCTGACAAAGATTGTATAATCTTTTGTTTTAGACAAGCAAGGCTGGTTGGCCACCTCTCGATCTTTTTTTAATGGTCATTTTAGGTACTCACCATAATATAAGAATGATTGGGCTGGCAGCACCTGTAGCTCAAGCGACTGGGACACTAGCCACATACACTGAAGCTGGCAGGTTTGAATCCAGCCCGGGCCTGCCAAACAACAATGACAACCACAACCAAAAAAAAA